TCGACTGATCATGAGATGTTTCAGAAAATCGTACAAAAGACATCGCCCTCCAGCAGCTGTAATTTTAGCAAAATTTGGTTCTAAAAAGTACTGAATCAGGGAGATTGAATACAACCCTTTCATGTTTTTATTTACTATCCTTCCAAAAGCATGCTTTATTTTCCTTCTACTTCCTCACTCTGAACTGCTTTGTGTTTAGATTGTCATGTAAAATCCCCAAAACATTCAACAAAGCTTGTGGTTAAAGAATGTTTAAACGTTCAGGGGTTAAGAAAAAGAAACTCTTACAGGGCACCAGAAAAATATTTGTAATTAAACTTACACATTGTTAAAAAACAAAATTAAACTATTTATTTATTTCAAAATGTTTCTAGAATGCATCATATTTGTAAGCGGGAGTTTTACGGGACACCTTAATAACATTTGGGTTGGGGGAACGGGGGGTCTCGTAAACTTATCCGTTTAGTTTTTCTTTTAATCCTTTTCTTCAAGGTCTTTCAGTCAGGCTTCTGTTCACCACAGTACAGAGTCTGTCCTCGTCAAAATGTTCAATGACATCTGTAAAAATGCCTGCTGTTGCAGAACCACAGTCCAGGTATTATTAGTGCAGCATTTAACACTAATGACAACCCCAATTTATTAGAGTGCCTTAAAAACTGGATCTGTCTTTCTGATAGAGCAGTGGACTGGTTTAAATCCCTCTTGAAGAAAAAGGACTTTTATGTCAGAAGGTAACCTTTCATCAGAGACCACAAAAAATAAGATGTGGCGTCCCCCAAGGGTCCATTTTAGGCCCCTTCTATTCAATTTTTACATGCCCTCCTGAACAACAACATTAAGTTACCAAATCTATGCAGACGACACACAGCTGTACAACACAATGTCACCAGGTGATTATGAACCTACTCAAGCTTTGGGTAAATGCAGAGAAGAAATCTCGGTTGGAAAGTACCCTCCAGTTCCCCTCCAGTGGAACCACCAGGCTGCCAATCCAGCGTCACTGTGTCAGTCAACACAGCCTGAAAACATCCACAGCTCTAAGGTACTCAGTGCGGACCTCGTCCAACCCTGAGGAGTTTTTCGACCACCTCAGTTATTTCAGCCTGGGTGATGAAAGAATCCAACCCCGAGCACCACGCCTCTGCTTTCGCCATCAAAGCAGGACAAAACCACACTTAACAGAATATTTAGTTTTAATTAGATAAATGCACACAGGATTACTGTATTCTGCCTGTTTATTGTTGTATCGTAAAGGCTTTCCAAAGATCAGATAGAAGTGTGCAGAAATCGGGCGTGCTTCAGTGGCACAGTGGTTAGCGAGCACGACCCAAGTATGGAGGCCTTAAGGGCTGGTTATACTTCCGCACCAATGTGTCGCAGTGAGCTTGTTGCAGAGCTTGTGCACTATGTTATCCCATGCCACAATGCAAGAGGGACAATCATGAACTAGCTGTGGGTCTAGATACGGCTGAGGAGGTGAGGAAGTGGGGGCAAGTTTGTGCGACAACGGAGGGAAATGAGGGCAAAAAAGAGCGGGGATCCACGTGAGAAAAGGGTCCCAGCGTTCTCGCACCCCACGCTCCTCTAGCTGGTCCATGTTCATGAGTCGTTTTCCACAATGGTGGTCATACAAACAAAAAAAGCCGGTAAGGTACCAAACAGGAAATAAGCATAGAGTACAGCGGATATAGATTTGACAAATCAGAGGCCTCCTGTCTGCGGTAACCTACAATTTTGGAGAGGTGCACCAGAATCTCTGCGGAAGGGGGGGAGGCACATTTGCACTCACGCAGACGACCTAGTTTCTGAGAATAAATCAGCCTTTAGTCCTTGACGTGGCTGACCTGGGTTCCAATTAGTGTTGCGTCAATGCCAATTGTTGGCTCCAATACCGATACCTGGCTGTGCAGTATTGGCCGATACAGATACCATTTGTTTGAAATTAATGTGTGTGTATATATGAAGAACTGCATACTAATTGGATGTAAAATAATTGCCATCTTGGCTTTTTCAAGCTCCTCTCTACCTTTGTGAAGCAGGAGAAAGACTAGTATAAAGTGAATCCAGCAGAACTTGTTAATGACTACCTGGAATGGGTGACAATAGTTGAATAAACTTTTGGCTCTCAAAATAGTATCGGTGCCCTATTTGTTGATGCTTGCCGTTAAAGATACCACCATTTTAGTGCTGGATCGGGGCCCCAACCGATACTGGTATCAATATCGGTGCAACACTAGTTCCAATCTGGCCTGTGGTCCTTTGCCGCATGTCTCTCCCCCTCTCTCATACCCACAAAAAAGGAGCCACCAGTGCTGTAACCCCGCCCACCACAACAATACAATATAAAAGGAGCTTTTTAATTTTTAAGACTACTCCTTTTGAGAGATATTCTTTGTCATTTCATTATGACAGGAAACATCTTAGTTAAATAAAGATGTAATTCCAGCTCTTTGAGGAGGATGAATCATTTTGGCTTCGACTTTTAATCTTGTTGATGGGATTTCTTTTTAGCAGATCTTACGACAGTTAACCTTTTATAATTATGCCACAGACTTATTTATTCATATGTACTTTATAATGATGTTTAGTTTTTAATTTTTTGCTTTTACCTGCTTTTTAACTGTAGCACTTTGAGATTTTTCTTATATGTAAAGCATTAAATGGTTACATACATACATGCATACATACATACATACATACATGTGCATTAAAAATAACATTATTATTATCATTTTATATTTATATAGGAAAGCAGAATAACAAAAGTATTTTCTTATCTCATGAATTGAATGTATTTTTTCACAATTCCATGTTTTTTCTACTGCCCTGGCCTCTATAAAACAAAATGAGGACAATAATAGGGCAGCATGTATCTCCATCGTCATTAAGACGTTTACACTATTATCCCAGTCGGACCGTAAAATGGAAATTAGACATCGAATTGGTCTTCCATCTGCCTTACATCTTCACTCTGCATGCCCATATTAGAACTGGAGCCTCATTGCCCTGAGACGGCCGTCTAATTTACAGATAGTGGCAGAGATGCTGGAAGAGGAAAGGGTTCTGCGAGCAGCAACGGGAGGAAAGATGGAAAAGAGAAGAAAGGGTGAAATGTGGCTCAAAGCTCCGGTGTGTTTCACCTTTTCTTCTTTGCACCTTTGGTTCACCTCTGCTTCTGAATGAGCTAAAACCCAGACGCCACTGCTCTTGCGATTAGGGCCAGTAACTGTGCTGCTGTTATTAATGCCTCTATTCTCACTCAGCCAAGCTGTTTGATTTCCCACTTCCTGTTGTTGGTGCTGGTAATTTCTGCTGATCCATCCACCCATCTCTTTTCTGAATTGCTTCTAGTCTCCTTCCCTTCGCTATAAACATACAAATGAATTAATGTAAAATCAATGAGTACACTTGTATATGTATGAGTGTTCTTCATTGGTAATCTGATCTGAGCCTTGAACATAATTATTTTGGCCTAAATAAGATTGTTCAGACTAAAATATAAACATATGTGTCTAAAGATGGATGGCTTGAAGTGTCTGGTTTATACAGGGCAGGGCCTCCTCTTGCCTAACTTATTTCTAGTACTCTCTTTGACGATGAGAGATGCAACGATGCAAACATGAAAATTAGTGGCCGGCAAGAGCACCATGTTATTACCAAGACTAAATATAGAGTAGGGAAAAAGAAGAACCGTGGTTCTCCCAGAGAGTAAAACACAGCCCTGAAAACAACCGGTGGACTCCAGAAATAGCCTGGACATGCTCAGCCGGCCAGCTTTTACATTACAACAGCCAGTTTCCATGTGGGATTTTCTTTTTTTTCGCACAGTTTTCCAACACCACCCATCCCCGCAGAGGTTCTGGTGAAACAATATGGGAGTCTGTAAACCAGAGAGGACTTTTTTTGCTCCAGAGATGTGTTACCATCCCACTCAATGTCCATATAATGAGAAATCACACTGAAGACCCACTTTTCATAAAGCATAAATCAAAAACAGAATAATAAAAAAACAATAAACAAATAATTCTAACAAACATAAAAATAAACAACGAATTTGTACGAAATTATTACACAGATAAAAACACTAGACGTTGCAGGAAAGCCTACATACCTACAGTAAAATATATCCAAGTAAAGCAATAAAACATGATATGACAAAGAAATATTTTTTCAAACTGCAATAAGATTCACAGATTTAAAAAGATTTTTTCTTACAGCCTATTAGACAATGGTTTGATAGGTAGTTCAGTTTGTATATCTGCAGAAGCCTCAAGTTTATAGGGTTGTCTGAGGTTTGGCAGATTAAAGGAGTCTGTCCATTACTTGCTTTATAGGTCAACAGTAAAACATTAAAACCAAACCTTAATTGCAGACAAAGCCTGTAAAGTTCAACAAACACAATAAAAGTTCAAATTTAGGCTCTTAGACTAACAGCTACCGTTAAAAGGACGCTTGACAAATAGTAACATAGAAAGAAATGACGATGTTCTGGTTGTGTCATACAAATTTGAAAAAGTGATGTTTTTCTTTCTATATTTTTTCTTTTCTATATTTTTTCCAACAGAAAAATACTATTTACTGAAATACTATTTCAATTTGCTTTTCATGTTCACACATAATGATTTTATTAATATTTTTCCACACACTCAAAGCTACCCATATCCATATTTATTGGTCTAACTTATTGGTGCTACCTTATTATTTTAGTTTAATAACAAACCAAACAAAAACATTTGTTGTTTTAGCTTTGCCACAGGGGTACTATATTGTCTTAAAAAGTTATAAACAGAAATGATCACTTGGACTTTTTTTTTGTTTTTGGTAAAACTGTCTAAAAAAAAGCCTTTCATTTTGAAATCTATTGATGTGTTAAATGCAGTTAAAAGCTGTTCTGTTATAATTTGGAGCAAGTTTACCTGTTACCTAGTCTGATGTTCAACTTTTTAATTTAACCAAATTGTATTGGAAAGTTATGCTAAACAAAGTTACATTTCCTACATTTTTTTTTTATGGCTGCCAACAATGGCTGTCTCAACTGAAATGATAAATAAATATGAAATATTCACTCAGTGGGATGATTGTAAAGAGAAAACGTATTGGCCCGTATTTATAAATTCTACAACAGAGTGGGACTAACAAAAAACATCCTCCTATCTGATATTTATGTGATGCAACATGTTGAGAAAATGTTACCAGGCACTGATATTTAGGTTGGTGTCCGACTGGATTATTCTAAAAGGAAAAAACCCTGAATGTTTCTTAGAACCCCCAGTAAGAAAGTTTAGAGCAATGAGTGTTTTATTTTTAAGCATAAGTCAAACCCCAGTATGAGTGAGCCATCCTAAAATATCCTGCCAAATTACTAAAAAAACTTAATTTAATATTGAATTATGGTCAAAAAGGTGGATTTTTGGTTAAGGTCTCCAACTGGTGGTTTATCAACCATCAGTCAACATCCCGGTTTTAACTGGAACAGCATAATACCCCTAATGTCGGCCAGCAGTAATGTTTGTTTAACCCTAGAAGTAAATGAATAAACCTGTAAAGATATCACCTATTAAGAGAAACGCATCAGTGAAAAGTGAAGCTTTTCTAATGGGCTGCATTGGGCTGTTAATATTTAATATCCAATGAACATGTCAGGATCTTGGTTCTGTTAAGTTTTCTTTTGAGTGTTCCGTTTCACTTTGGTCCATCTTTTTCTTTGTTTTCTAGTTTTATTGGTCTAATTCCTATTTTGTTGTGTTTTCTGGATATATGTGAGTTCTTAGGTTATTCCTGCTTACCCTCTGCTGCCCTCTTGTGTTGGTCGCCTTTTCCCTAGCTCCTTCTAGAATCCTCTGTTCACACCTGCTCCCAATCAGCTCATTAGTCCTGTCTTTGTTCTGTCTCCTATATATACTCTCCCTCTGCAGTTCCTCGGTGCTGGTATTTCGTCTTTCCCCGTCTTTACCTTTTGAGAACTCCATTAAAACTACAAAAACGCACTTCTGCCTCTGGGACCTCAAAACCTCAACCAAACCCTTACAGAACATGAATCAACATTGATTCCTTCACTTTGATTCAATATAAAGTCAACACAAATGTACGTTCAGATCAACATTTAGATGATGGTTGAATCGACATTGATATAGTATCATTTATGTCACTGATTGCTTTTTGTTTGATTTTATTTAAATATAAGGCTTTAACATAGGTTTGATATTTCTGCTAATCCATATTTCAATTACTTTCATTCACATATATTGCTATAGAGCAAAATGTTTTGAATCTTCTTGTTACTTACATAACACGGCCTGAATTGGCGCCACTGCCTATTTTTTTCCACTGATATATTTTCCAAAGAACTGATTATGGGTTAACTGATATGTCCAGGGACTCTCTAGGACCCGGCCCTTCATGGTTTTATTTTACCTTTTTCCTGCATGTAACAAGGCCATCCTGGGACTATCCCAGAGGAGATTTATTTTGATGCATTTCAGTGCTGAAAACAATGCTCCTCAAACCATTACAGAGGCTTTTAAAGGCATGAAAGCCCCTTTAGATGTGAAACAATAGAAATCCTCAACACTAGAGTGCACTCTCATGTCATTACCTTAAAACGTTTTAGTTGCTCACGTTCAGCTTCTCTCTAAAGGCATTTGGAGACTTGTGTGAGTCAAAACAGCAGCTTGTTTGGGTGGCATCTAAGGCGTCATAAAGCAACCAGAATCAAAACTGCTTCAATGACAATAATTTATAAAAGAAAAGGGAAGTTTAATTATTTCATAGAAACATATGAAGACTAGTTCACTTCCAAACACACTAATATAGTTTCTCATTGCAAATTGGACATTTTTGCGATTTTATAAAAACAATTATGATTAACCTGCTAAAATATATTAAAATGCAAATCAAGATTCACCGTTTCGGGTCATGGTATTATATAGGTAGTATTATGACTAGATAGATTTAGTTGATTATATACATTATAGTTGGTGGGAAGATTTTCTATCTAGTCTCCAGTCACTGACTTGCAGAATTAGCTTATTGAGGATGAGCATGAAGCTACAAGCTTTTACATTGTACCATTATCTTTGCAGCAATCTGTCACACCCACCATTCGTATAGCAACAACAGAGGGGAAATTTCAGTTTAGCGGGGAAAAAAACGTTCAGCAGAACCAGTGAAATGAATGAATCCTCGTCTCAGAAGACAGAGCAGACACACTAATGGATCAAAGAAGCACTGATCAAGAGTACTTTCTATGTGAGTGAAAAGAAAAAAGTTAATGGCAATAGTAGCTTCTTCAGTGGTTTCATCTAGGAAAGAAACATGCGTAGGGGACCAGATGAGCCCCAAGCAAGTAAGATTATAAGAGAGCAGATACAGCTACACACAGCGAGAAAAAAGTAAAATTAGTCCAAATAACGCAAAATTGGAGAGTAGTAGAATATCGTAGCAGAGGAAGATAAAGTGTTCCTTATGTCCTCCAGCAGCCTAAGCCTATAGCAGCATAACTATAGACAGACCTCAAGAAAATCGACACAACCGAAAACAATACATTTTATCAAAAAAGAAATGTTTTAGGCCTAGTCTTAAAAGTAGACAGGGTGTCTGCCTCACAGACTAAACCTGGTAGTTGGTTCCACAGGAGAGGAGCCTGATAACTAAAAGATCTGCCTCTTATTCTACTTTTAGAAACTCTAAGAACCTGCATTGTAGAAGGGAACAAGAATTTTCTTTTATTTTCCTCAGAACTCTGACTTCAGCGTGAAGGCCATTTTAACTAAGTTTTGTAGACTTCCTGATTATAAAGAATTACACTAATCCAGCCTTGAAGAAACAAATGGACGCAAAACCCCTCACACCCCATAATTTAATCCTCTTGTCTCTCCCTGTGTCTCTGCAGCTGAATACTCTACTCTGGGTGGACATAGCAAGCATCCATGGCATCACCAGCGCTTGGGAATGCTGAAGAATCTTCCACTCAAAATCTCAACTCAGGAATGGAAAATGGTTCAGTTTCTGGCACAAACAAAACCTGCCCTGTCCATGCCTCTGCTGGAGAGGAAGCGAAGAGGAGTTTTCGGAAAGGCATCCCTCGCCATAACGACTACGTGAAGATCTCTGTGCCGGAGTCCAAAGTCAACCGTCTTCCCACGGAGTGGTGGAAAACAATTATTGCGTTCTTTTATGCAGTTTTTAACTTGGTTTTGACCACAGTCGTCATCACAGTCGTGCACGAGCGTGTCCCTCCCAAAGAGAGCAGCCCTCCTCTTCCTGATAAGTTCTTCGACTACATCGACAGAGTCAAATGGGCTTTTACAGTGACAGAAATCAATGGGATGGTGCTGGTGGCCATTTGGTTGATCCAGCTCTTCTTCTTTAAATACAAGTGAGAACCTCATCTGCTACCTAAAGGGTAGAAAGCTGTTCTTATTTAGAAAAATACAGATACTGAGAAATAAGATTATTCATACCCCTTTAGTAAAAATTAATAAACTATATAAAGAATTTTGTTTCAGTCCAAAATTATACAGACTTCTCAAAGGATTCATTCTAACATAAAATGATGTTAAAATGTAACCATTTTGTTGGCATTTCAGAAGTCAATCTTTTCTTAAAATCATTTACCAACTTTTCTAGAATTTTTTACTGATATTTTGATGCTTTATTTCTCATGATGTGCTGCAAGTCTTTAAGTTGGAAAGGCCTCCTTCCCGTCATAGTAGCTCTATCCACACACATTGTCTGTGGAGGAAATGTTTAATCTGTGAAATCATTCAATGCCTACTTTTAAATGGCTGTGATGCAAGATACATTCAGACAGGTTCTGACCATTAAGTCTCATAAAATTCAAAAAGGTTTCGTGTTTAATGTTTCCTCTGAATGAAGGGAATATCTGAAAATAAGTGGGGTGAGCGAAAGATTAGGGTGATGGCAACAAGGCCTTCCAACCACCAAACCACCAAAAAAGATAGATAATATTTAAAAACAGTGAAAACCTGCAAAAACTATCTTGATATTACATTTAGATTGTCCAGTAATATATGATGGTCCTCAAACTTCTTCAAACTTTGACAACTTTCCTTTTTTAAAGCAGAGGTTTCCAAATTGGGGGTGTCAGACCCCCGGGTCTCAAGATCACTATAATGTAATCTCTAAGGGATATGGAAAAATATATTTAATAAACGACTAAATGTGACTTATGTGTCATAAATAAATTGACCATAAAATAACATTTACTTATTTAACTTATACATGATTCAAATATTAAAAATACAGTTAAATTGTAAAATGAACAACTAAAGGAGTCATTAAAGAATTGAAAATATAGTTAAAATGATGAATAAACTTAATTAGATGGGACTTTAAAAATGCATTTATTTAAAATTTGATATAATTAATTCACTTCATATAGATAAATGAATATAGAGTGAAGTGATTATCTGTATTTTAAGGGGGTCACCAGTCTGCTGCATTGTTACTTTTGGGGTCTCAGGCTGAAATATATGGGAAACGCTCATCTAGAGCTTGTTGACATTTCCAGGAGAAACACTGTTTCACACCATTGCACCAACATGCAACTATGATTTATTTGTTTATTTTTCTAAATATCACAAGTATTCTTTTGGCTTCATATATATATTTTTCACTAATTCCTCTCTTTGTAATCTTGTACTTTAGGTATATTCCTAATTCTGCGAGATTGAAACAGAGGATGTCGCCTTGCTGCTCTGCTTCTTCCAGATAACAGCAGTTAGTTATTTTACATGCATGAAGTTTTTTGGTGAACATAATTCTAATTAATAGCAGACAAATTTAACTCCAAACATTTTTTTTTTACTTTAAACCAACTTAAATAATCATTCTAATTCTTTACAACTAAATGTATCCTTTTATCTAAGCTCTAGTTATGATATGATGTAAACTCATCTCTCTAATTAAATTTAGGCAAAAAAAACAGTAAATTGAAAAGACTGGAAAAGCTTATTTTTTCCGATGACTAAATAAATCACAAGTTATTGACTATAGAGACACGATTTATTGCACATGATGTATAGATAGTTGAACCTGTAGTCGTCATAAACAGCAGGGCAGACTTTATTATTGATTTTTATCCCGCTTCAAACCCTTAAAGTCCTCAGGAATTTTAGAAATGCCTCCATTTGATATTTAGATCCTTATTACAAATCTGCTTCCTTATTTTGTTTGTTGTTTTTTTTTTTTAAACTTGGAGTAGACTTGAATAATTGTGACAGAAAACCTCCTCAGCATGTCTCAAAGCTGGCCACATCCATTTTAAAATGGTCAGCTAATGAGGTCACCTGTTACCTTTGACATGAATTAGATGTTTACAGCTATAGGCAAATTATTGTTTCAGTAGAATTGTTGTATATAAGTGATTTCTTTCTCTAGGTTAAATGAAATCAATGGTTTTAAATCAGAAATGCTCATTTTTAGTGTTGGAAAACACAATATTTAAATTCAACCAAATGATCGTCACTTCTTTCAGTGACGCTGCATCACTCCATAGTCAGCTGGGTGTTTCTTGTTGCAGGTCCATAGCATGCAGACGGTTCTTCTTCCTCATCGGCACCCTGTATCTGTATCGCTGTGTGACCATGTACGTCACCACCCTGCCTGTTCCTGGCATGCACATGAACTGTGCTCCAAAGGTGAGTGGAAACCAGAAAATCTACCTCCTGGGATCAATGGGAAGGAGACGGAAAGCGCTCTGGGTTTTGCTGCTCTAGGAGGATTGGAAGTTGGAGCTTAATATACATCTTCTGGAAGTTTGTATACTGTCAGAGAACATGGTTAATGCTGTTGGAGATGATCAAGAACTTCTGGGCAAACTAGAAGGATTTGAAAAAGTGACTGGTTAATAGTTTTTTTTTATTAATTTAAATCAGTAAAACACAAGGATGTGTAAATTAAAAAAATGAATAGCTGTCTTCATGGGTAGTTCTAAATACCCCTATAGAACTGGTCCTGGCCCCTGTTACTGAAGCATTGAAACCATGTATGATAAAACCATGTATGAGGACAGAAAAGGAATTACTTTTTTGATTTTCATAGTTTATTTCAACAATAATTTAAAAGTGAAGGTTTCGCACTTTTAGTTTCAGTGGTATTGGGACAGGATCTCAGTTTTCAGATGCGATATCTGAGGTCTCCAGAACCGGGAATGGTGCTTTGGTTCTGCATCTCAGCTAATATATCAAATGATAAGCTTTATGCGCTCTTGTCTGTTTCATTCTTTTGTCCTGTGCCACCATTAAAAACTCTGCCCCCACCCTGGGAAATTTGTTGAAGAATCACCACTGCAGTGTTAAGGTCTGACAAGTTTTTAATAACAAGATGCCAGAGTTCTGATTATTCCTTCCTGTTAGGTTAAAAAATATAGGTTTGTAAAAGAGGAACTGAGTCCACACAGGAAAGAGTTTTTCAACAGCTCCTACAGGAGAAGAGAGCCGCAACCCAACTTTCCAACTCTCTCCCGGACCCCCTCCCTGCAGAGCCTTTTTATTAACAGATCATAACACATGGGGTGGGTTACAAAACAGAGTATTCTTCTGACAAGACAATTATTGTCATAAGACAGAATGCTCCTCTGACCGAACCACAAGACAGAGTGAAGCATCTCCTTTCCTTATTGTTTTATATGAACACACATTAACTTTATAATCATCATTGAATAAACCTAACACTTCCCCTCTTCAGAATGTTACCATCAGAACAAGAAACATTAAATTAAGGAAGTATTTTGCCAGATGTTCCAAAAAAGCAATTAATTTTCAATCTGTTTGCAGGGATCAAAGTATTTTCCGGCCAGAGGCCGGATTTCCGGCTCGTAGCGATTGCCTATATGTAAAAAAATAACATGAAAATAAATTGATGGTAAATAAATAAAAATCGAAATCCCCCATGGGTTTGTCAGCCGATGGTAGAAAAGGAGCGTTCTGAAACTAACAGTATTAGCCAATCAGAAGAACAGGGACGGGTCTTAGGAAAGTGTGTTCCTCCTCCTCTTGTTTCTTGCTCAAGTCACCAGATAGTTTGTGATACAGTGTTGAAGTTCTACACGGAAAGTGCCGTTTACGTCTCCATTCAACGGAGAGACGTGTAGAGTCAAAAAATAAATAAATTAAACTTCTTGTTTGGAGAGAAGGACGATAGAGGGAACAGAATTGCAATGCAGTTCATGAACTCCGGGGAAGATGTCATGACCATAGATAAAGGTCTCAAAAATAAATGGCGCTAGGCATGGCTGGAGGAGACAGGGCGAGATGGTAAGCCATTTATCAGCTGGAATAGAAAGTTAAGGGAACCAGCCTCTTGCGTCTGCACGCTATGCTCCAGGAACGCTTAGCAGCAAAACTGGATATCAACAGAAATGTGGTTCATGCAAGTGGTAGATATCAGACATGGGCAATGTGGAGTCAACAAGTCATCTCCATGTCATGTATTTAATCTACCCAGCCAATTAACCAGGTGAGTCTAATCTGCACAGGTTAATTCACGGTGAAGATTGGACTCACCTGCTTCAAGTGGCTGGGTAGAACAAATACATGACATGGAGATGACTTGTTGACTCCATATTGCCCATGTCTGCTAGATATACAGTAGATGCAGTTTTGCCATCTCCTGGCTGTTCTTGGTATTAGATTTTTAAAGTCAAATTCAGTATTCAATCATTCATGCAATCTCTGATCCCATGCCCCCATGGCATGGCTTGAAGATGCTTTAGCAAGGTTTTCTGCTGAAGCAATTTGACAGTAGCAGTAAATCTTACTGATTCTGCTAATCAGGTGCTAATTCCCCCATTTTTGAACCTCTCTCCTATCCAGCTTCAGGGAGACACGCAGGCCAAGATCCAACGTGTTCTGCAGCTCATCTCAGGAGCCGGCCTCTCCATAACCAACTCCCACCTGCTGTGCGGAGACTTCCTCTACAGCGGACACACTGTGATGCTCACCCTCACTTACCTTTTCATCAAAGAGTGTGAGTACTTAAAGCAGGGTTGCTCTCAGAATAATTTATGAGATGTTTCCAGTTAATAATGAATGAATTGCATTGTGCACTTCCTTTCTGATCACCCATTGCTTTTAATGTTGTTATGCAACCTGCAAGATTGATGTATATTTATTTTGATTATTAATTATTCACAGCATCGAACCCTCTGGGTTGGTTAAAGTAACCTTTGCAGTAATATCTGGAAAAGTTGAAGATGTTTTTCTCTCTTTCTTTCCCTCCTCTGAAGACTCTCCAAAGTCCTTCTGGTGGTACCACCTCATGTGCTGGTTGTTGAGTGCTGCAGGGGTGCTCTGCATCCTGGTGGCACATGAGCACTACACTGTGGATGTAGTCGTGGCCTACTTCATCACTTCTCGTCTCTTCTGGTGGTACCACACCATGGCCAACTTACAGGTACGAAAATCTGAACAGAAATACACATTTTAAACCCTTTGGGGTTAATAAATGGTTGCCAACTGTTGTATTATTTACTTTTTTTTAGACCAATGCTGCTCCTTCACCTGCAACAGTATTCTAAGGTTCATTAGCTCCTTCTAGTGGTCACAGTGAAAACAACACGCTGTTATAATGGTTCTAAAAATAAGCTATTTACATTTCTCAGCCATAAAGGGAGTATAGAATTGTGTTTTCTTTCTATTTTCTGTATGAATAAAATATCGAATGGATAATAAGTGATAGACACTTATTAAATGACATCAGAGTGGAGCGTTTGAAAGTGAAAAGCTTGAGAAATAACACCTTAATTAATTATATTTAATTAGAATGAGTAATTTTTTTACATCCTGGTGTTTATTACTATTATGTTCGACCTAATTTGTTGCTTAGCTTCCATTATTTTCAGTTTCTGTTTGACTGAGCGTAGCTACTTTATTACCTTGAGGGTTAATATGTGTATTAAACGTGTTTTGGTTTTATTTGGCTTTGACAGACTCTGAAGTGCTCGCCCAACAACTACCTCACCAACACCTGGTGGAACCCCATATTTAACTTCTTTGAGAGGAACGTCCAAACGTCGGTGCCGTGCTCCTACAGCTGGCCCATTACCTTCGCTTCTACCTGCCTCAAGAACCCCTGCAAGACCTACTCCATGGTGCAGAGCTCACGAGAAGAGTGACCGGACCTGCCGAGGCGGCAGTCAAGCAGCTCCTTAATCCTCTTTGGCACAAACCAAAAAGGCGTTGTAGGCATTTGTCTATGAAAAACCTAACCAGAAAAATAGTGACTTACAATAGATAGTGGGTTGATGCACGTGGGATTGTGGTTTACGTGGTTTTACTCCAGGTTGGCAGGTAAACAACATGTGGCAGGATTACTTGTTTCCTCTCCTGTTCTGGTTGCTCCATGTCAGCCTGACTGTCTGAATGACTGCCATCCTGACTGGCTGCTTACCGCTGACAGACAGGAAGAAAACTACATGACCACCCACTTGCATGTTGATCTACCTTTAAACCCCAAATATCCATATCTTTAGCAAGATAAGAATTTAAACTAAGCAAGTTTATTCTAACTAACTAGAATTAGACAATAAATAGTGACTAAAGTCATCCAATAGGAAAATTTAAAAGTATAACAATATAGAGAAATAGCTCCTACAGCCGTATTGGTGGAAACAATTAACCGTAGCTCGAGGGAAAAAAGAAAATCTCTGTGATTTATTTATAACATGAAGTGCTGAAAAAATGTCTGTTTTTGAGAACGACATCTGTGTCTGATCTGTTGCTGTACTTGATCTGTGTCATCCATGCTAAGTATTTGAACTATCGGTGTATTTAAGCCACGAGGTGCCTTAGAGTGTTAACGTGTAGATACATCAAAGCTGCCATGATCTGTCTCTCAGTCTATTTTTATGTGCTTTGATATCATTTGTTTTGTATTCCTTTGAGCGGCCCGAGTACCTAAACTATAGCCTCAATATTGTATTGAAATAAAAGCAAACAGCTTTAAATGTGTGCTGGGTTTTTCTCATCAATCGGTTCACATTTAAGATAAAAAAATATTTAAGATGAGCCTATTCCCTCATTGTGTGCTTTAAATACAGTCAGATTAAGTGCAGATGCGTAATATGTACTGTTATTAATAGTTTATATAAAACACATGCATGTGAACTACTATTCACTTGCAGTTTAAATGTTTAATGTGTGCAGATTCAGTCACACTAGACCCCTTGCCACATGGTCCTTCTCTGCACACTTGGATTGCTTTTTATGTGCCTGTTGATTCTCTAGACCTTTTTCTGCTCCTTCAATCCAACTTTTGTAACTTTTGAATCAAGCAGAGAAAGTAAACTGCCTGTGATTGGCTACTGATGAGGAAATTTAAGCCAGTAGTGTAATGATATGAACAATTTAATGGTCATCCTAATGATGTAATTCCCTATGAGCTAGATAGGTGGCACATATGAGCTAGATAGGAGGCGCATGTGCATTGTATAAAAACCTAGTACTCTTCAAGTACCTGTGTGTTTATTGAAAAACCCACAACACAAATGAAACATGGTGTCAGAAGATGGATTTGAGGTTGATCTTGGACGTTAACAGCGAATTAGAGAGGATGGACTGAAAAACGTCTGATGCTAGTCCGGAGAGAACATAGCAAGTTAAGTCAACCAGTTAGCCTATTTTCCACGGGAGAAAAAAGAGCTTGAACAGTTTCTTGTGGAGATGAATCCCCTGCTCAGTGTGAAGCTCAAACAATCCTTTGGGGAAAAGTAGATCCAAACCTCCTGTTTGAATCCTCAGCTCAGTTTGA